AGGGTTCCCCAAATGCAACGGCTGACAGATGACAAGATATAAACTACCGAAAATCGTTGTTGAAAGTGACCGAGCTCCCGCCGTCATTCTATCTCCTCGGAACAGTTTTACTGGCTCTTGGGCGGGCTGCGCGTCCCATCGTCGAGCTCCTTGCAATGCTCGTCAAGAAGAACAATGAGCCTCAGCAATCGCTGCATCGTTCCGTGAGCAAGCGGAGCCTAACCCCACGGAACGGGCCTTCTTAGGAATGTCCCAGCGCGAGCCATTCCTGGCTCTATGAGTGGAATCAGACCGGGATCGGTATCTGGGAGGTAGGACGCGAACGATGCTCAAAAGAGCTCCGCCGTCACCAGTGAGAGCGAATAGATGAATCCAGCATCGAGTGCGAGGCGATAACCGGAGCCTGTTTTCCTACAGAAAGATGAATTCTCCTTCCGAGCCGCCCCTGGGAGGGGCATCGTCACCCATACTCGTCAAACTCCCATACTCCCCTCACTTCGTCAAATAAGCCCCGGACCACATTGAGACGCAGAGGTGACGAGCGCCAGCCACGCGGTTCCGATGGTTCGTGCGTCACGATTCCGTGCAGCATAATCAAAGCGGGTACGCCTGCCCTGAGAGCTGCGTAACAGCTGAAATGTTCCCTGTAGCTTCCCTCGATCATGTTAGAGCGCCATAGCAGTTTCTCAGCGATAATCGCGTGTCTGGAATCGACCTCGGCACCCCCGGGGCGAACGACGGGAATAGAACCTGCTCTCATTACAACAATGTTTCTTCTATGTCTCGCCTGCCTCAAATGAAGATACGCAGCGGTAAAATGGAACTTGGATTGATTCGTCGGTGCGAATCGCAAATTCATCGTCTGGAGCAGGATGTACCCGACCTTGTTCCGCGCTCTGTAAACAGGTTTTCATGCCGAGTTGGTCCAGAAAACCTGCCGCCTACGCGCTCTGAACGGATTCCCCTTGATTCTGATTCTGACCAAGCGACAGCCGCTGGAAACGTACGCATGCCGCTCGTGGATGTGTCTGACTTGGGATATTACGATTTTCATCGAATCCCGAGCCTCGGATCAAGAAGCCTCGTTCTGAGTTCATGAGCCCGCCGCCAGATCCTCTCAAATCCTTGGGCGGGGCATTGCCTGGCGTCGGATAGCTTCCGAAATCCTCCCATCGATTGGAAGGGGAAATATCGGCGACAAACTTGATTCCCCAAAGATGACCGTTTCGCGCGCGCGAAATTCAGAATCAAATCGATTGGTCGCGGGGGACCTCATGCTCGTACCCTCGAGGCGTAGGCGAGGTGAGAGGCGCTCATTCTGAGGACTTGGCAAGTCATCGCGAGTTGCATATTCCGGAGAGGAGTCATTATGGCAGCCAAAACGGATCCACATGTTGCGGCCAAAAATCTTGCAGGGTATCATTCAAATCGATGGGAGTCATGATTCTGGGAGAATGATCGGAGTCATGTAACGTCTATTAGTGTCGACCTTGTCGGAAGAGAGCTGGGCTCATGATGAAACGAGTTCGTACATTTGAGATCAATTCGGGATTTTCTATTCATGATTCGCTCCCGCTAGCTGTCCATCGCTTCCCGCAATGTCGGCACGCTCGCGATTGGAGTTCATCCTTGCAGCATGTGAAACCATGAGTGTTGGCTCGGAGATGCGTCATAGATGAATACCAGCGCGGAGATCGTCGAATTCGAGTCGGTACGCAGAGTAGAAACCGCGCATGAGGGACCTTCCGCGAGCGGAGAAGAAAGTCGATCATATGAAGCTGTATCTAATATTTTCGAGACTCTTACCACCACGGGGATCCTATGGGGGAATTCGGGGGCGGTCGCATATACGCGATGGTCTCTCATACGCAAGTCTCTTATTTAACTTACAAGAAGCTCGAACTGTATTCTGATTCTATGGAATTATAGATATACTTCAGTTCCCGAGCTTCTTATCCTCTGGGGAGCCGTACTCATGCTGTTATCCGATCCACGGGGTATACTATCGAGCTCCCCGCGGCTCGTGGTCTCTCATCGGGTGAAATTTTCGGAGGAAGTTCTTGTTATCAACCGCCGTAGTCCGGGAGCAGAATCGCGGAACGACGCCCGGGGCTTGTTTATTCGAGATCGTCTCGAGGAGACAGCCTCCGTGCTCCTGCACTGGAACTTACTTGAGCGACTAAGCGAACAAATTCCTATTCTTGAGAGGTACTCTGCGGATGAAACAACTGTTGGCGATTCCCAGCATGCAGGATGGGTACATATATAAACTTGAATTGAATGGTCCCCGCCAGGGCTAGACGCGCAAGTTATTCTGCTGTTCTCGACCTTGATTTTTGAAACGAGGAAGAATTCTGGGTCGTTCGGGAGGCTCAGAGCGTGGTCCAAACTTGAATCTCTGAAATAGTCTGCGGGCACGCTAGAGAGGTTCTTCTATGGTTCGTGGAGCCGACCACCTATCTTTTGCGGCGGTCCCCAGAAAATCGGGATCCAGAGTCCCTCCCTCCTGCGAGTTCCGTCTCAGTCATCCCAGGGGGATGGGGGAGACCGCGGTCTCGAAAGATTGTCCTCCGTAGCAATTACGGATTACTAGATTGAGCCACCAGGACACCGTGTTCTTGAAGATTGAGGGAGAGCCCAGAACTGACTGAGTTGAAGGTAGCGGCACTCAAATGGAAGATATCAAGTGAATGACCGGGATTGCTGCATTCTCCCTTTCCATTTGTTCAGGAGTGGGCCATTGGGAGTATTACATTTCTCCGAATTCCAGCTAGGGCCCCCCGCCAGAGGTGGCTCACTGTCACATGGAGGGGAGGGATTGGGCTCTTCCTGAATATATGAGTCCGATTTATGGAAAACTTTTCGTAGATCGTGGAGCTCCGTGGCGGAGAAAGTTTTATGGGAAAACTAAGATTCGGAGCCTTACGGGAGACGGGGATACGGTATGTTCTTAGCGCATCTGAGTGCAATAGTTAGTGTAAACAATCAAATTGGTTTGTTTAGATGTAATACGCGCGAAATACAGTAGATAAGTAGTCATATTTATTGGATCGCGAAACATCGGTTTCGAACGGAATGCTCATCGCTGAATAAGAGAAACTTCCGAAGAATGCGCCAGTCTCGCTGGCGGATCAATTCAATGGCCTTAGAGTTCTGATCCTGCCTTCCGGTCTTTACACAATCAATTGAAGCGTTCCGGGACACCGTTCGAAGCGAAGCCTCGCGAATGGATCGTATGTCGGACAGACGATCCCTCACAATAGAGTTTCCGACTCCGACAGACAGGAATCGAAGATGTTTTGAGCAATAAGATTCTCGGTTGGAAATATCATGGTCGATCAATAGAACATCGACCAGACTGGTTAGTATGCAGTTATACAGTCCGCATTCTTGGGATTCCCGTTCTACCCGGATCCCGTCAAATATTTTGATTGAGGACAAGTTGGTTCCCGCGGTCGGAATCCTGTGCATGATATCCGATCCTGAACGATAGAGTCAAGTTGCTACACTATTCCGTATCAAACATTGTAGGTCACATATTTCCTGGATCAACTTTAATTTGAGAAATTCTCCGTCCGAAAGGAAGCGTGCGGATCACGCAGCCCCTCGACGCCAACATTCTCTGACGGAGAAACAGTGAATGGATATGGGTCTTCTGACACGATCATTCCCCTCAAATACGAATTTCTCGAGCAGATTCCTTCGATCCAGCTCGCTATGTGGCGGAACCTTCCATCCTACCGTCTGACTTGTGAGCTAATCTCTCAAAATTATCACAACACACTGGAATATTTTCATCCCAAACAACAGCCAAAAAAATATTCTTCTCGTCTCTCTGAACGGAACTGCAAGTTCTCTCGTCTGATGCTTCTTCGATAGTCTCTAATTCTGGTTACGTCCCCCAAGTAAGAGCCTTCAAGTCGAAGATCTCCGGTAGTACTCCCCATGGAGACAACGTGTCGAGAACTGAAGCTCCACACGATTAGCTTTCACACTCCGAAAATTGCGTTTCCCAAAATATGATACAAGTTCCGAGAGCTCAATCAACTTTGAGAGGAGGGGTGCAATGAGTGGACAGAAAACAGCCTGACCGTGATGCACTACGAGCGTCCTGACTACAAGCGGAATTTTCTACAGCTCATCATTCTAGGTATAAGACAACCCTCAATATACAAGAAAACCCCTGAAACGTCACCGACAACAATCCCTTTATGGGGTCCGTCGCTCTTTGGCACTGAATTATTTTCGTTCTCGAGAGCCTCTGTTACACAAGTAAAGAAAGAAGGTTTGAGATTTCCCGAGCTGGGGTCCGAAGAAACCTCGCTCGGAAAAAGTCGGAATCACAATCCCTCGCCACTGCGTGTGTACAATGGGATTACGCGAACTTGCTTCGACGTATCCTCTACTTTCAACCTTTCCCCCGTAGAGGTCACAATCCTGTCTGCTTTCGAGCGGGAATAGATTCCGACTAATTTCCCGGGCGGATAACAGGGGCGCCGCGGACATCGGTCTTCTGTAAGGGTGGGACGCCGCCTGGGACGGCGAGTGCCGCATATTGGTCGGAACACTGACGCATTACGTTTTCCGCTATCAGCGAGTTTCGGTGCTGGGACTCAAGCATCGTAACTCCGTTACCTCGAGTGTCCACAACGCCTGGTCCCCGATCCGGGCAGCGTGTCGTTTCGCTGACAAAGGGGAATTAGTTCGAGCTACAACTCGGAGCGAGATGATGGAGCCGTTCTTGAAGTTTGTCTCCGTTCGAGCGGAGCAATTGATAGAAAACGAGGAGTTTCCCTCCTATGCTCTAGAGCTCAGAGACGGAGTCTTCAGATGTTCTGTCGTTTCCTTGCAACTCATTGTCGGACTTAATCAACTTCGACCAATTAGCAGTTCGTGCTGACGGTCGGGGTGTCGAAGCTGTGACTGCATCCACACGAGCAATGACTGGTGCTCCCCGTTGCTCCGGAAAACGAAGCGCTCTCGCTCCGAGTTAGCCAGGATCACACGAACTGTTCGCGGAGTTTCCGGTTGAGCTGATCGCGATCAATGACTTGTAGTTGAGCATGCTTTCCGTGCAGCTTAATCGAGGCTAACCGACTTCCAAAGTTGGCCTGCTGAAATGTTAAATTGATTTCAACGTCGACACCGGAGCACAATTTCCTATCGAAAGCCATCGCTCAGTTAGTTCCGTGCTTCCAACCATCCCGTTCCCAGAACATTGATTCCTGCGGAGTTCGGGTCGGATGTGTCATCCGTGTTGGCTACTTTCGAAACGTTTCACCTCTATCGTTGTGTATTCTCGTCCCTATTCCTACCACGCAGGCTCATTGGTGTCGTTTCAAATTCACAGGGAATTACTCGTCGACTGTTTTTCGCTCGAATATTCGGAAACGATTACGATGAGGGTGAATGTTTCACAAGAACAATCCTAGACGTAGCTACCTAGGTAGGGGCAGGCCTGGCCTGAATCAATAAAATGCTATTCAAAGCATCAGCCTACCTCGAGAGGGAATGTGGAATTTTTTGAAGAGAGCTCCCCCGAGAAAGCTCTCCCCAAGGGTATACCGCTCAAGGAAATACCGCATTCCAGCTTGGATTGATAGGTGCATTCAACGGAGAAAAATCTTCGTCTAAGACAGCGTTTCGCTAATTAAGCCCGGCTCAACCGCGATCAGCTTACCCGCCGATTGTGCAAATCCGGCTTTTGTGAAGACCCGATTAATACTCTAATTCTCTCTGCGTTCTTGCCAGCGGTCCGTGGACCTCAATCGTTCCAGTACCTGAGTCAATCTATTTTGTTAGTTGATGAACAATACTATACCATTGGCGGACTCACTTCGGTGAGAGTGGTCGCCATAGTCTTCTTAGAGCTTCGTCTAGCGCGGAAGCGGAATGGCTTGAGACCCCAAAAATAACGCGCAAGTTGCAGCTTGAATAGTCTTGTAGTGAGTGTATACAGAACAGGGTTCAAAGCCGAGTTGACCGGTAACAGAATCACCGCGACCCACGCGTAAAGTGTTTCATTGATGGGAAAACCTGCAATCCGCGTAAAGAGGAAGCCCGTGGTAAGAAAAATAGAATCGTTCGATGTTGCCCTGCTGCTCCCCATGTCAGATATTCGCTGTCTTCCGCTAGGCTCACCAAGCAAGGCAACAATCTTGACACCGGCGATGGGCATCCAACACATGAAGTCAGTGCCCACGATGAAAGCAAAACGCTTCGCGATAGCACGGTCCTGAAGCTGCTGGGTCGACCGCAGATTCAAGCGCGAGTCCGTGATGCTCAGAAACATACTCACGTAGGCGTACGCAATGAAGGCGAACGCTAACGAGTTGATCGTGCAGAAGATCAACGCCGAATATTCCCAACCTAGAACATGAACTCGAGCTCGAATCCAAAGGTAAACGACAACAGTCCCTCGAACCTGCGGAGCAGAAGGAGGAAGAAGAGGTTCCTGCGCTCCACCGGATTCCGCCTGGACGGGGAATTCAGCTAAGCGTGAGGAGGTCAATAAAAGATCCCGATCCACGTACCTTTTATGTATGGCTTGTGCAGATGCAAGGGGAGACATACGCCGTTCGATCCATAAAAAATTGAAGCGAAAGAATCCGGTTGCGTCAAAGGGTAGATCGCAATCATGAAGGCGGCTGACCAAGTCAAGCACATAAGCGTCCACGCTTTAGTGATAGTGCGTTTCTTTGTTGACAACGGATACATGATTGAAATGAAGCGGTCCGTCGTGATCACCGTCAAAGTGAACACCGATGCCTCCGAGCTGATCGTGGCGATTATGCCTGAGAGAAGTTTCATGTTGCCCGTGAGATTCAACAGAAGGAGTTTCCAGACGAGATTGTGTTTGTCTTCTCCGGCAACTTTTTTCACTCTCACCACGGATATACGTATCTGCATCACGTGAGGAAAACTTTTGCGACGGAACCGAAAAATCCAAATCGGAAATTCTGCACCAGAAGACCAAGGAAGAGACTAGCGCCAAAAAGCGAATCCGCTCGGTGGTGTATCGCACTCAATACACACGTCGTCGCATGTTCGTTTGTCGTGCGAGCTCAAAAGAGAGTTATATATGCCGCCGGTTGTTAGCCTCTGTTGGGCGTTGACCCCGGCTCGCCATTGAGCATTCAATTGAACATGGTGTTGACCCGCCAACCTTGAGGTATCACACAGTGGGGTGAAGCTCCAGAGAAGCCATGACGGAACGACGTAACACCTCTGGTTGTAAACAACAACAACAAGAACAGAGACGTCAGACAAGGTCTTCGCGTGTTAATATGGTCCGTGCCCACCGAGAGAACTTTTTGCTTTTACAATGGAGCATATGGCGCCGGTGACGCGCCATCTCGACGCCTCATTTTTGGGACTATGAGATCTGGGAATAAAACGCTTGCGGTTCCGCCAAGTGGTTTCATCGGGGAGACTCCTGAGTTCGAACGACTTTTGGCATCACCACATCGATGAGTCCAAAAAAGAAAACTTACCCGCGGCGGCGCAGCTGAGGGAGTGTCGCCAGCGGAATTCGTGACGAATGTATTCTCCACGGAACAAAACATCGTGGGCTGCGATGATGAAGAGATAGACTCCCATCAGAAAATCCGAGAAAGCGAGATTCTTTATGTAAAAAGAGTGCACTCGATTGGGTTCCCGGAACAACATGCGACCAATGAGGACCTGTAGGTACGAAGCATCTGGTTAGGAAACCGCTCTCAGGGTCACCGTATGCCGGCTCTTCGCTCTGAGGAAAGTTTCTTTGGAAGCCACGGACTCCTTATACTAATATTCCTGCAGGAGAATGGGGAACGTTGCGCCATCGTCTTTGCTATTCCGACTTTGGAATTCGAGTAAGACGGAACTGGAAATCCTACACGCTCGAAAGAACATCATTGAATCTGACAGGAGACGACGAAGAATCTATGCACATTTTTTTCACAAGGAAAATATATAAAAATTCGAGCGACATGACTTATTGCCCAGAGGACCATGCGCAGACTCCTCCTTAAATATCGGGATTCCCGAAAGGAGTTTTGCTGTTTCAATATGCATTCGGTCTCTATTCTGCAACATTCTTCTATTGTTGAGGAGGAATGAGTTTTCTGATTTTGGGATAGTCCCGGATGAATTCAATTCGTATTTGAGGAATTCGCTCATAGGTGCCTCACCAGCAAATTCCCGAAGCATGCCATGACCGCGATGATCCAGACAAACACTCGAAGAAATTCACTCTGAAGCAAGTTATGAACAGAGGAGATCCCGTCACCCGGTGGATGACATAGCTCCGCTTGAGGAACCCACAGACACATCGCGAACTCTGTGAAATACCTGCAACCGAAAACCGCCTCGCTCACAGCTTGAGGGACCGACGAAGCCTCATATGATTCGAGTCTACTCGTCCGAGTACGGCAAGTTCAACTCACGCTGTTTTAAGATTCCGCAAGGCCCGGAAATGAATCTCTCCCACTTTGCTCAATGGATTGTTTTCCATGATTCTGGAAACGACAGAGCTTCCTCAATCTCTCTCCTACGAGGGGAAACCAATAAATAAGGGCCTCATGTTACTGAACTCACAGGGACGTGAGGATCGAAGTGTTGGAGAAGGCGGTCTCGGAAATCGAATCAATCTTGTTATTCTCCACATTCCTGCAAAACAGACGGATATTCAATCCAGATCCGATGTTGAACCGAGCTCTCGACGATGTTACTTCACGGAGGAGCTTCGATCAGCAAGCATCTCCTAACGCCGGCCATAGAATCGATCTCCTCCTACAGTCTACTCACAGGAACTCGAGGGATGGCAGATTGAGCTCGATGTCGATCTCTCTCAAGTGGTTTGAGCCGAGATAGCTGGAAATAAAAGCTCACAGCAAATATCCTCACAAACCCGAATTACAGTGCCAGGATACACTTTGTGCTTGTGATGCGCATTCCATGCGAGGGAGCGATTCGAAAGGAACCTCTATTTGCTTAGCACACAAGGGGAACGGAAGAAGGGCGAGGTAGTCCCGGGGCTTCAGGACTCAGGGGATTCACAAGAAGAAGCAAAAGGAAAACCCGGAGAATGTTCAGGGGGACAAACTCACAGATCTCTGAGCGATTTCAGTTTCATGAACCATCTGGACCGTAGATTCGTAAGACGATTCGATGATATAGATCTGTAATTGAGAAAAGGATCCGAATTCTCCCGAGGGCCAATGTATGCGGCTTCGCACCGTGAGCATCCCGGACACTCGCTTCTTCAGAGCCAAACCATGGGAGACGACCTCAGATTCACCAGTATTCACCGAACTCGCCAGTACTGGCGCTACGCTTATTGCGAAAGAAACCTTTCGAGAGGCGACTTTCCTGTAAACAGTTTCCCAGCGCCCTGCCTCCTCCGCCCGGTAGGAAAACTCAAGCACTCAACTGAATTTCGCAATTCCCCTCATTCTTTTACCGCGTTTCCGTCGAAGAATTGAAGTCGATCATCAAAATGAGCCCTCTTGCCTCCGCCGGCGGGAGTGCTCTATGGTAATGCTCAACTCGGTATATCTCGGACTTTCGCGCCAATGAGCGGAAGCCTTCGCGGCTCTGCATCATCGGAAATTAGACATCGGTCCCACTCGCATGGTAAACCATCCGGCGGAACTCCATACAGAATCGAATCGGCAAGCGTCGCGGACGACAAAGAATGGGGTTGGACCGAGTCCTCGTAAGCGTTTACCTCTCACTCAGCCGGACTCGATATGAATTCACAATCAACACACAGTCATAACCATGACTCAGTAGGATCGGGAGTCGCTCAGTTTCTGACAACACCTACTCATCCGACCTATCTGACACTTCATCTTACTGAACCACGAGGACTGTCAGAGATCCTCCCCGAGGCTTCGGCGAGGTTCCGCGAATTGTTTTCAGGCAAGGCCGGAGCGATTGGGACGTCATCTCGTCTCGGAGCGCAGGCGCACGCTCGGCAGCACGCTCGATTCTCGCGGGAGTCCCCACGACCTGGTTCTCATCATCCGTGATCGTTTCGCATGTCGACGCATGTGGAAATCGAACTCGATGGCGGAGCGATGGATCTCTCAGATGGATCAGAAGGAGATCAGGAGACGGGCGAAGCTCTCGGGGAACTCAAACCGACGACGGCACGGAGCACAGTTGGGAATTCCGACGAGTTGTCCGATGAGTAATGGGATTCAGATTGTGGAGAGTTGTCCAATCCCGACAATTGCGTCAATCCTTTCGAATCAAAACATCGCAGCGAAGTTTGAGTTCGCACACGGATGCTCTGAAGGTCGCGCCGATCGTCAACAGAGTCGTGACAAGAGGCGGTCCGGTTGTTCCTGAAGGTCGAGGTTCGGACAATCGCTCGGAACATAGACCCGGATTAACAATCGGAGCAACGATACGATGTAGCAAGTCTCCAGATGTTTTCCTCTGGCAGCTCATCGGCTTGTGGGCGAAGTTCCGAAACTTCTCGTTCTAGTTCCGATCACCGGTGTAGTCCTTTGGGGCTGTGCAGACGCACGGATTATTTTCCGAAGCGAAGGAACCAGACGATTATCCCTGTTTACGAGGAATTTCAGAGCGCCGCGCTGATCCGGAGGCAGCTCGCATTTCGAGAGCTCAGGTCGGAGAAGACGAAGCGTAACACTTCTTCATGGGAACAACACCCAGCGTTGCGCTTGTGGCGCTCGGTCGCGTGCTGTTCTCTCTCTTTCTCATGCGATACTTCATTATCAGACAGACGTTCATTATGACTACTCGGCTGAAAATGGTTTCGCTCCGAGTATAGTCAAAGGCACTCAGCCATACAGCTGGACGAGGTAACCCAAATCGTGAAGCACCCCTCAACAAAAACGACGCGCTCTTATATGACGAATGTTGGAGGCCCAACGCAATATGTCATACACCTTCCAACACGGAGCTTGTCTCTAGGGAGCACAGGCAGCGAATTTGAATACATATTGTTGAATAATTATCCGTAGCTCTTAATTAGAGAGTGCCGGGAAGAGACAATTCGCGTGAATTTCTAGCCAGAAATACTTGACAATCACGCTCTCACACCCAGAAGAGCCCCGGAGAGTAATATTTACCGGAAATAAGCGACGTGAATTATACCAGATCAGAAGCTCGAAGCTGAATACGAGATGCTCTCGCATGGCCGTAAAGACCGAGATTCGTCCGGACGACTATACAGTCACTGCTCAATACTGAGCCCTCCTTTCATTCTCGATCATATCCCGGAGGAGAGCAGAGTCAAGATATTCCTCAGAGTCAAGATAAGTTCATCAAAGAATGATCAGACTTCGGAGTTGTACTCACAGAATACGGAGTTTATGGAGGGAGTCGAAAGTCTCCATATCGATGTGTTTGATGTGGTTGTTGTCGAGGCGTCTAGAATTGATAAGAACAAGGAACATGACACGGGGTCCTAGCGGTGAGCATGAGTTCGCTGTCCAACTCGGAACCATATTAGGAGTGGGATTATAGGGACGATTTTTGACTCACAAAGTCTCCAACGCGACCAAATTCCGGAACATTCCGTTGCGAAGTTCCTTTAGTGCGCAATCGCGCAATTCTCTGCGAGTAGAAAGAAAAACCGAAAATGTGAAACGATTCTCGCCAACTAGAAACCATGACTATCAATAATGCAGACCGGCTCGGTGGCAGTCCGCGTGCGAGCTTGCTCTCATATCCTACGAGAATCCGCAATCCTACACAGGGAAATGTCGTTACCACGAGCACCATAAGAAAGAATTTCCACGAGCACGAATTGCCATGAAGATCATGATGGAAATAATTCGCTACAGCGAACTTTCCTTACAACGAGCATATTTTTTTCGGTTCGGCGATGTTGGTCGTAACGAGATTTCACTGTAATGGAAACCGCATCGGCCAGGACCGTGGTCTCTGGCGGCTTCAGCTAGTTGGTGTTAGGGCCACAAACGTCGCTGACTGAGGAGGCCCGCAAATGGGAGAAACAAGAAAAAGAGAAACGGAAATCTGCTAAGCGATGGAGACGTCCCCCGGCAATAATTGTGTTCGAAACTCACAGATCTCGGAGGGTGCTGAGACCGCTGAATGCTCCATCTTGAATGCTCGTAATCGGATTATACGAGAGCTTACTGGGAATAAAGAGGCTTAGGTTTGGAGCTTTCCCCACCGGTGAAATTAAGCCCGATTCAGAGCCTATTCAAAAGTTACTCACAGTTTCCTCAGCTTCCCCATGTGACCAAAGGTATTCTTGTGGATTTTTCGGATGCTATTGCCCGTCAGACGTCTGATGAAAATTCTCAGAGTCAGAATCGTCTCCAAGAGAGGGCTATACATATTTTTAATCGTCTTTATGAGCGACTCTCCTATCGACTTACAGATAAGTGAGCTTCGAGAGCTTGGCGAACGCTCCATCCTCGATAGCCGAAACTTCGCATGATGAGAGTGTTCTACGCGTAAGAAAGGTGGGAGAATAGGGGAAGCTTAGTATTAGATATCAAAGTCATGGCGGATTCGAATCGGGATCTCCCTGGGTTCGACATTGCGGACTCCGTGCCGACGTGTGCATCCGTGGTTCCTGACTTTGCCTCATCTAGTAGTCCACAGCGAGTTCGGTGCATTCAGCAGGAGGCACAGGAGTCATGAGAGATACATGGCGGAGATTTATGGTTCAGATCGATTTCCCGACTCGCTCGACGATACTCACAGGTCAACTAACGATGTAAAGGGTCTCAGGAGGTCGTGTGAAATCCTAAGCAAGATATTTCCCGACGCATCACTGGAAGGCGCGCGGAGGAGCTTGTTTAGATAATGGGACGAATCTCAATCGATGAGAATCGCGAATTTCCGAACTCCGAACTGACAACGGGATTCGAGAAATAAATGAGATATACTACAAAATGAATAAAAAGATCTCTCAAAAAAATGTACTTTCTACGAAGTGAAAAAGATGAAGTCTCGCAATACAAGATAGTACACAGATTGCGACTCACATCAACGTTGCATTCGAGGGTATCGCCTCCAAATTCCGGAAGCCAGCTCGGAGGCAGTAAAACTTCTCGGCGTTCGGGACGCATCGACATTTTTCCAAAGGCTTCCATTCTGCGAGAAAACTCAATCAATATATTTCACCCCAAGCTCCGCCGCTAAAGAGGAGCGCAGTCACCCGAGCTTCGGATTAAAGAGCTTACGACCCATCAGTCTAGTAGTCGGAACGCGAGTGAGGTCCCGCTGAGGATTCCTTTGGAGCGATCCCGATAGTTGGTCCTCAAACTCACCACAGAAAGGCAGACTTTCTAGATCAACGTCGTGTCGTTTTCGGTAGTGATTATTGAGAAAATTCGAGTAAACTTCGTCATGCACTGGAAGAACAATTAGGGAAGACATATGATCATTCGAGCTATCGTAAACTTGATCTTGCAGTGATACCTGACTTAAAGGTCCACCAGATATATCGGTCCGGATTTCGACGGCACCGCGCATGGTCCGATAAGACAGGTTTCACCCTACCTGCTTCCGGGAGTTCTCATCGATACGAAGTGATCCAGATGGTCGCCAAAGGGGAAGACTCACCGCATTTATCTTCATCTGAATTGTCGCCGCAATCATTTTTTTTGTTGCATTTGAGCTTCGACGGAATACATCGACCTGACCTACATCTGAAGTTTGCAGGACTCTCGCAGGGGATCGCAAGAAGCGATGGGGATGCGTTTCCTGCAATTATCCAGCGCGGTCACTCGAGCCTCCGGTGAACTTCTCCGTCTCGGTCTAGAGGGGGATCTGACTTCCGGTATTACCCTCGAGAGGGAAGCCCTATACTGCTAAGCAAACAGGCGGAAAACCACACAGGGAAGATTCTCATTCCATGAGTGTTAGCTCACCACTGCAGTTCTCAGAGTCTTGATGTGGCTCGCATTTGACAAAAGTTTGAGTGGAGTTATCGCTCCCGCCGGTGCAATCCGATCCGCGTGTACATGACGGGGCTGCTGTCTTGAAACCTGCGGAGGACCCCATCTGTGATTAGAACTCGATCTGAATCTGCGGAGGAAAACCCGGCGTGTCATTCCAAACCTCTGTCTCCCAGATCATGCCGATATCAGGAATTTCCTCACGGAGGAATGGCGGTAGCCATCTCTCCAGAGCAAAGATTTCTCCAACGCTCCGGAAAACGACTCAAAAAGACTGCCGAGCTCGAAATGTATCCAGTTCTTTTTTCCGGCGACAAGTCCGCAGGAGAAATGCGTCAAGTCTCGAAGCTTCCGAAGGATTCTAACGCAAGAATAAAGACAGCTCCACTTCGGCGAATCCGCATTCAATCCGCTCACGATTTCCAGACACTTCAAATTTCCTCGTCGTCTCGAGAACAAGAACAGGAATTATGCAGACTCGGCATGCGTTCAAGCACTCTCAGATTGCAACTTTTGTTCGTTCCTCAAACCCGAATCGACCAAGCATTGACACGATTTCGCGAAATCACTCTCCCGCTCGAGCATGGCAGGACTGTCTTCAGTCGAAAAATCATCTGCAAGCATCGATCGCAGCGCTGTGAGTTTCCGCGTCGGGTGGAATCCTCTTGAAGACATCTGGGTTTGGAGGGGTTCGCTGGAAGCGCAAACAAGGTGGAGAACGATGCCGAACTTTCGGCGAGCTGCGATACCCACCGTGAGGTATCGCAGAAGTTTCACTCAATTACTCCATGGTCTCATGACGCAGGTAGAATTCGCTATCTCGGAAGAGTACGAACGTCTCCTCTGGTAGAAAGCACAGATGTTTCGTAAGGTTTCTAGAACGAACAGTGCTTTCTACAGGGTCTTGCGCAAGGCTTGCTCTCGCTCCAGAGATCAGGTTCCCCCTTTGAAAACGCCGTCGAATACAGCCCATAGTGCGGGAAGTACCGAGCGAAACCTCCCCCGAGGAACTGCGCAGTAATGGTTTACAGAGTGGAGGACTCGTCGGGCATCCCCTTACGCCGGTCTCTCTCCTCATTGACGAGAGCCGCGTTTTCGATCGAATTTGAACCGGAGTCTCCTCGCAATAACTCTCTTGGAGTCGGAAGAGGCCGGCGAGTTTACGAGTAGCGGAGAGATATTGTTTCTCTCCTGAGAAGTTCGTCGTGAATTAGTAACCGAGCTCGCTCTCTGCGGTCGGCAGGCGCAGCTTAGCGTGGTCACTATTCGGTCCGAAACTGGTCACTGGGAAGATCTCCAGGCCTGGCTCTGTAATCCGCATCCACGTCCGAGGCAAATTCGAGGGGGTCGATCGAGATCCGCTCCAAGGAATGGACTCGGCGGAAACCTAGTTCGAGCTCGCTCCGATATGGACGCTCGAGTTTGCCCGCTGAAGAATCAGGCCGCGCTATTCCGATAGCGAGCGGATTGCTAAATTCGTCGCGGCTGCGCGAGATACGAGAGCCGCTATCAGCGCATACGTATCTCTTTGAACAGGGAGATAGCACAATGGATAGAGCCCGCAAACTGTGATGAATTCGACGCTCGGGGTAACCGATGCCCTGCGAAAACTCCAACTTTAACCTCCTCGATTTGATCACTTCCAGAGATTCAGGGAATCGGCCATTTGGACAAAGATTCCCGGGAGAGCCACCGTTCTTGCGTATCCGCTAAGGAGCTGCAATGAGACGACGGATGATGCGTCCGAGTCCGTCTAAAGATGCGAAGTGTCCTCACTTACAAAAGAACGATATGAAGGCCAGTTGAATTCTCATCCCTCCGGCGAGAGAGTCTTCACATGCACACGTTGCTACCTGGAACAATAAAATGAGGTCAAGAGGCAGAGCGATGGGCAGGATAGAAACGCGCAGGAGGAGCTGCCTCGGGGGCATCCCTCCCATATGGTACATATACCCCCGAATGCTCTTTTTCGCAGCGAAGCCGGGTGCTCATTTTGCGCCGTGTCCGACAAACGAGGGCGACCTGCGTTGCGGAAATAATTTCCGCTCGTATCTAGATCACGTTCAGTCCCAGGGTCGGTGAAGCCATCCCAGGGCACTGGTCGCGCAATGAGTTTTTTATTTTCGTGGACCTCCGTTCGGGAACGGCCTAGTTCAAGGAACAGTCAATCTCCTGTGGCGACGATGGATACACGATCCTTCGCTCCGATGAGATAAGCGCTCATCGATTCCATTCGGCATTAGTTCCGTGCGCCTTTATGAAATAAATACTCGAAACAAGACAAAGCATCGGTATAGGTGCTGTGAATGAGATATTCATCATACCGAGAACGTCTCTGTAGGTTTTTCTCGTTTTATCTCTCCCAATATTCTAATATGTTGTCGGAGCAGCGTTAAATATTCTCCCTCCGTGTACTTCCATCATAACATACAGCGAGCTGTCCATTGTAGGGCCGACGTGCTCATTTTAGGATCTGTCATGCTCTGGAAGAAGAGAGCGGGTCCTGGTCGGCGGAGAGCCGAAGCGCAGGCTTCCGTGAGACTGCATCGGAGTCAATCATGGAGTATCACGCATGCAAGCGGCAATGGATCCTCTGATTCCGGTTTATCCATCGAGACCTATGGGTATTCCGACATCTTCAATGAATTAAAAATCTATCCGAAATAAATGCACCGCTCACGATAAATGTTCTATGCCTGAGATTCTCCTTTGAGCAGTTGAACTTCCAGACTTCCAGGGTCTCATCACTCTCACTTTGCCGGATTCGGAGTTTGAGTTGTCATTATTTTTCAGAACTTCAATCGATCGATTGACGGAATCCTCGGCCTGTACCGTTGGAATGAGGGGGCAGAGCAAACCGACGGAAGCTAGCGGATGGCTCCTGGGTCGATACATGCGTCCCGACTCGATGTCGCGGAATCGCGATCCTCCTATCGAAAACTTGTCGTGTCGCATGGATTCTTGCCCGAGTCACAAGTCGGTGTGCGCCGCGGGCGCTCATCATTGGAGCTCAAGGAACCGTGTATACGTAACAAAGTAATCATGACCGCCGTTCATCGATTTCAACCACGATACAGGCTGCATAAACACCGACGGAATCCGGCTGTGCTTGGCCCCGGCTTTGACGGGGAATTTGAATCGGTGAAATATTATTTATGATTAGAGTTGCGATATGAGAGGACACGTCCTTTTTTGTCGGCTTTGACCGCTTTTTGGGGGTTTTCTCGGAAATGTCCGCTTTCAGGATTTTTCGAAGAAATACCACTGAACTCAATGGAAAAGATTGAATTTCTGCGCTGTCTTTTCGCCGAGGGCACCGAGGTCTCGGCTGCACAAGCGTGAGCCAGAAGCGCCGGAGGTTGGGTCAGAAATATTCTTCTCAGCGAATTGTCTCTGAACGATCGTTAGGGCATGGAAGTTCAGTTGCTT